GTATGTCGGAAAAGCACTGCATCATTGCTAACGAGCTAAGCTTGAATTGTTTGGCCGGTGTCAGCCTGATCAGCGGTTGGTAGTGCAGTAAAGGTCAAGCAATTGTGCATGCAGAAACACAAAATTTACGCTTAAGAACGCACTGTGGAAACCAACATAAGTGTAAAAAATATAAATGGACCCCCGGTATTCTGTCTGCCATTCGGCTATGTCTACCGCTAAAAGTCGATAACTGGAGAGCGGGGGGCTGCTAACAGATACTGTACGGTTGTCGCCGCGGAATGGCTTAGAATGGCTCGTTATATCCTGAAGACGCCACGGAATGGCTCTTCGTATTCTGAGGGAGTAGAAGAACGATTTTGCTCCCACTGGAGCGAGTGAAATGAACCTTGTTGGATCGAGTTTATCTTTACCAGACAATGATTTCCATAAATCATCTCGTTTCAGTTCCATTCGTCATGAACTGGCGTACTCCTCCTCAGGCTTAATTTCAGTAAAGTCCTCAAAATCTCCAAGTCACGCCTTCCCCGAGAAGCGGTGATGATGAGGAGGAGCAGCGGTGATGATGAGTAGGAGCATAGAACTGTATGCAGAGCTCGAATTTAGGCTAGATATTAAGTCCACATATGCAGTCGTTATGAGGATTCCAACACAGAACTGGGAAGAGGATAGAAGAGTGGGAAGAAGTACGTTGAAAATAAGGCATGCTCAAGAGGAAAGACAGAGGTGACAAGCTAGCCATGATTGACGAAGGCGGACAATTTGCTTGTTGGCAATCCCTGGTTCCAAAAGATAGGGGACGGAGATAGGCTTAGATTGCGCCAATCGCAAAAAAGGACAAAATCGGCAACATCTTGTTAGCGTTTGGCAAATCCTCAAGGACTTTTCCAGTAGTAGCGATTATCGCGCGCAACGAACTAAAACACGTGTCATCCAAGTTCATAAGAGAAGTGCGCTGCATGCGGCAGGTCAGTATACTCTGGAAATCGATGGTAAAGAGATGAAGCGAAATGTAGAGAATACCGGCAGCGAGCATTGACCAGGGATGCAAATGTCTTATTGATAAGCTTCTTGAATGCGAAAAGTGAAACGAATGCGATGGACAAATTTGAAGATTGGACGAATTTGAGGATCACCGCAGCTATGAAATGCTATTGGAGGAAAGAAAAAACATGAAAGAGGATAAAACCCAAAATCTGGAGACTCTCTTCTGTGCAGGCACACTAGACTGAGGCTGAATAAAGATCTCGAACGCTACAACCGCTGGGTGAAGGTAAAGACGGTTCAAAAAAAGCAGAGCTTGAAGACATTCTGCATAGAACTGCTGATCTACCATCCTTAATGACAGCACTGAAAGGATTTCGGATAAGGAATCAAATGTATATGAACGTATGTGGAGAACTGTGCACAAATCTGTTTGCATTACGTAGCTATGTTTTAGCACCTGTAATTTGCAACACCAAACAGCAACTCTTTCGAATAACTGACAGCGAAGCAATGCGCGCACCTCTTGAAATGAAATCGGAAAGGTTCCCGGAAATGTTAGCAATAACATTGGAACTGATCACATCCGGAGGGCACGGACTTTTGAAAGCTCTTGTTGTCCGGTTCAGTTGGTACTTGGTCTATGGAAACCACTCAGCAGTTTGAAAGAGTCAAAAACAGTTTTGCTGCGAAAAAAAGAGCGACAAGCGAGACCTGAAGTATCAGCGCCTGATCTGCTTACCTGCCTATTTTTACAACCAGCTCACGAAGATTACCGCTAATCGACCAATAAGACCTCGATGTGTAGCAGTTGAGCTAATAAGCTGCATTCCAATGACGTACGAATGCGAAACGTGATCGTTTACGAAAGCTGAAGAGCGAGTGTTGGTTATGAAGAAAGCGACGGAGAAAGGACACTTGGCGTACCTTTTCGGGACCATATAAACAATTAGATTTTCCATTAGATAAGCGTCGTGCAAAACGTCACTGTGGCCACGCAATAAAGTAGAGTTCCTCGGCTTGTCAACAACCGGTAAACTAGCGTTTTAGTGAGCAATGACCACGAAAAAGTAAAAGACTGCTCCGGCAACCTCCGAAGAGATGGCACACATAAATCGAATAGGCGGTGAGTATTAACTGGAGGCATGCAGCCCGGGATCGAAGGACTTTGTGTAGCT